ATCCTTTTTATTAGTGGCTGGAAACGACCTCTCTTCTGCAGTAAAATGTCATGCCAGTTCACTCCTTTTATTTGTTCTGCACTGACGAGGCTCAAACTCTCACTGAATTAGTGCAGAGAGATTTATTTCCTCCAAATTTTGAACGGCTTAAGAGAGATTGGGGTGGAGGGGGCGGTCGGGAGGGAGGTGACGTGGGGAGAGAAGAGTGAAGAAGGGGTCTGGGAGGGAGAAGGTGAGCTCTTATGGAGGTCACATGTCCTCAGCTCTTTGGATATAAAGTCTAATGACCATTCCTTACATCCCACTCATCATCATCGACACTCAGCACTGGAGACCAAGTGTCCACATCCCTGCTTCTAGCCCATGGAGGATATGGACCCAGAGCGGAAGATATCTGGACAGCGGGAAGAAGCACTCCTGAAAAACCGTGTTGTAGTGGGACAAACTGAGGCTCAGGGAAGGCCAAAGTCTCTCCTCTAACTGGGAATCCTTCTCCCCACCCATCCCTGGTTCACACAGGGCCATTTGTATTGCAGGTGGCTTTGATGGCAGCTCTCATGGGCCCTGCCCTCAGGGTGGACCCCCAAGCCTGCAGTCAAGACTGCTGGGAAGAACTTTTCCAAAGTGGCTGCCAGCCTCCTCTCATGCCTTAGGGGGTGATGTTGGAGGGTAGGTTAGAAAATACAGGTCAGCCTTTAGGCAGGTACAGACTGGGCACCTGGGAAAGGGTAAGTGACTCTCCCATAGCTGTGCTGGAAACAGCCTGAGAGAAGCCCAGGACCATGCTGCAGCCACAAAACCCATGGAGTCGCTGGGAAACAGCCTGTCTCTCAGGGCACAGTGCAGTGTCTCAGGGATCCACGTGCATAAGGTAGAAGGTAGTATCTGGGTTTATCAAGTGAGCCAGGTGGATGGAGCATGGGAGCCACAGGCGCCCCACTGACCATGACCATGGATCACAGGAAAAGCTGTGGGTGATCTCAGGTGCCATCTGAGCTCTGAGAGACCAACAGGGCTCTGGGATGAGGTGGGAGGAACCAGACGCTGGAGTCAGGGGAGTCTGGGATAGGAGAAGAGAGGATCTGGGGGCTGACAGTACTGCTGTCTGTCCTTCAACCCTGACTGCTCAGTCCTCAGGTTGCAGAGCAGCTGGAGAGAGGGTGCCAGGCCAGTACCTGTGAAGTCTGCCCTGTGCTCCATGGGCTCTTAGTTAACTTGGAGGGAAGGATGGGCAGCATGTTCCTTTCTTCTGAGACAGCAGGAGCCACGGAAGCCTCCCCCAGATATGCCCCCACATACACACGCATAGCCATTCTGGGGAGATCCGCCACCTGGAAGTGAAGGAGGTTTAGAAGACAGACCCTGGCTGGGGTTCTGCAGAGGAGGTGCATGTTCCCTGGCGTATGTGACAATGCCTCCCACCCGATCCCTGCAAGCCCAGCTCTGTCACGAGGTACCTCATGATGTGACTCCTGCTGCCTTTTCAACCTCATCTCCCTCCACTCCCCACCTGCCCACCTGGCTCCAGCCACACTTGGCTACATTTTGTTCCAGAAACGTGCAAGCTCATTTCTGTCTCGAATACGTTGCTTTTTCTCCTGCTAGAATGCCGATCCCTTAGCTCTTTGCATGACTACGTCTCATCATCCGAGGCTTAACTTAAATGTCACCTCCGCAGAGAGGCCCTCCCTGACCACTCTAAGAAAAGCTGCTCCTCCCTGCAGAAGCAAGGACAGAAGCAGAGGAGATCACCCTTCTCTCCCTACCCAAAGCCTAGTGCTAGTAGCTGGGGGACACAGTCGTGGCAGATCTCTCTTCCTTACCCCACATGCCACTGATACTGTGTACACAGAAGACACCAGCCCTGTACACATACACACGTATTGCATACAAACAGCACAGAGAACAGGCACACTGTGCTCACAGCACACAAAATCAGCACCCCAGTTACATACATTACCCATCTGTGCATATATACAGCATTAGCACAACACTGTGTGTGCACACAATGAAAACACACAGGACCCCACACAACACTTGCTCTCATTGACAGCCTGCATACACCCTTGGTGCACACACATGCATATGCACGTGCACGCACACACACGCACACACACGCTTTGTCCCCTCCCTCCAACTAACCAGTGAGAAAGGAATGTGCGGTGACCGCAGCTGCCATGGGGTTGGGGCGGGGGCTGCACCCCCACCACCTGGCACGATGCTGTGGATTATTAGTTCCTGGTAATTTAGTGCCCTTGTACAGAGTCGATTTGTGCCTTTCATTCCTAATTGATCTAGTGGCTGTTTAAATGGCAGCAGGCATCTGTTGAGAGTAGGGAGGTTCATAAGGCGCAATAATTCATAACACCGTCTGGAATTTGCCTTTCATGTCCCTCAGCTAAGCCACTGCAGGCTCTGCTTAAATTACAGCCACTGAGGCTTTCTTTGGTATTCCACTCAGGGCCAGGAGAATCTTGCATTAAACTGGGATCAGGTTAGATTAGACTATAATATGCTGCAGTATTAGTGGCTGCAAATGAAGACTTATACTGGAGTTTAACCCCTTCACCTGGTTTTCTCTTTGTCTCCAGCCGAATGGCTAAGCTAACCCATTGTTTTCCCTACCAGCTTCCTGGTAGATCTTTCTCAATGGATCTTCTGGCAATTTGGGGCAGCGAATAGGCCACCCTTAAATATTGACACTTTTTTTCTGCAGACTGCACACCCAGTCTGCAGCCCTGGGGCCCAGCAGTTTAGGCATCAGCTTCCAAAACCAGGGTCGGGGAGAGAGTGTGCAGGGACAGGCTCTGCCAAGCTTAGCAGCTCCTCTGGAGCAGAAATTTCTCTTTTCCTCCTCACCACCCCGAGTCTGAGTAGAAAGAGCCATAAAATGCATATGAGTGTGGATGGGGGGACACACTTTCTGCCTTTTTATCCAAAATTGTTAGAATTCCAAGATGGACAGGCTCCTAGGGGTTCTCCCACCCACTTGCAAATACCATATAGGCTAGACATTCAGTCCTTCTCTGTGTGCTCAGTCATGGGGTGCTGGAGGGGAGACCATGGTCTGTTTGCCTTACTTACCGTGTTCTCGGTAGGATGCGGTGGCTCACACCTGTAATCCCAGCACTTTGGGAGGCCAAGGCAGGCAGATCACGTGAGGTCAGAAGTTTAGACCAGCCTGGCTAAAGTGGTGAAATCCCGTCTCTGCTTTAAAAAAAAAAAAAAAAAAAAATTAATCGGGCATGATGGTGGGCACCTGTAATCCCAACTATTTGGGAGGCTGAGGCAAGAGGATCACTTGAACCCTGGAGGCAGAGGTTGCAGTGAGCCAAGATCATGCCATTGCACTCCGGCCTGGATGACAGAGCAAGACTCCGACAAAAAGAAAAAAAAAAAAAAAAGACTTACTGTTTCAGTATGGTAGCCACTAGCCACATGTAACCTCTTAAATTTAAAGTAACTAAAATTAAGTAAAATTAAAAGTTCAGAGTCCTAGTTACGGTAGCCATATTTCAAGTATCCATTGGCCTCACGGGATTAGTGGCTGCCATATGGGGCAGTGGAGATTGCAGAACATTCCCACCATTGCAGAAAGTTCTGTTGCACAGCACTGGCTAGACCATCCCCTTGGGCAGAGGCATGGGGGCCAGGTTCAGGTCCAACATACATTCCTCCTTCTTGCCCAGCAAATGGGACTACGTCCAAAAATAAAAATACAAAAATTTAAAAAACCTACATTGCATAGTCCCAGCAGTCTGGGGAGACAGGCCAGAGAGGGATGTGCAGATGCATTTTTGGAACTGCAGTGGAAGGGAATGGGGCTCTCTGGAGTCCAGTGTCAACAACCCATGCACACATACTGCAGAAATAAAGGTGCTGTGGACTTATACACACAAATACGCCTACACACATAACATATATATTTACCAAATACTTTTTGGTAAATCCACATACATCTGACTAGACTTTAGACATATAGTGATAAGTAAGGTGAGCTAGGTTCCTGCCCTCATGTAGCTCACAGTCTAATGAGGAAGGCAGACAATAAAACAAACAACTCAGGGACTATCGGTGTAGGTTTGGCGGTGGGGGAATGGAGGTCAGGAGTCAGAAAAGCTTTTAAGAGTTGCTGATCTCCAAGATAAGATCCAGAGAGCCATTTAGGTAAACACTTTGGCTCACATATAGATGTCGTAGAACCCCCTGCCCCGACCACCACACACAGTCTTTTCACTCATCGATTCCTTCATTCACCAAATATTTATTAAGTGTCTGCTATGAGCATGCATACCAAGGTCTTAGGGATATCAGGATCACTAAGTCAGGTAGAGTCTTGGAGGAAAACAGTGAGCAAATGATTTGCATCACATAGTGATGTAAATAATCATTGCATCATTGTGTGATGACCTAACGCACTGGGGTATCTGACCTAAACTGAATCTACCAAGACTTAGGACAGGTGGAGACATCCGCCTACCACATGTGGATGAGTCTTCAGGCTCACGTATGTCTCCTGCATGCACTTGCAAGCACACAAGTGTTCGTGCACATCTGCCACCCTTAGCTGGCTCCAGAAAGCCAAGAATGGATCTATGACCTACCGCTAATGTTCACATCCAGGACTTCTCTGGACACTCCCCACCTTTCCTTCCTAGGTTGACTCTGAGCCAGAAATGGACACCTACTTCTTGGAAGGTTTATAACCCTTTATCCCTCCCCAAATATTCATGCAGTTTATCTGACCAAAGAGAAAAGGTAGGATCCCAGTGGGTAGGGACAGGAGCCTCTTAAGCCCAGAAGCTGGAAGAGCAGACCCTCCTTGCCAAGGCACAAAGTGCTGCCATCTAGATTGACCATGGGGACTGGGGATGTTATCAAGGAGTGGGACCTTGGGAGAAGTTATGGGAAAGTGGGCAGGGGAGTCTGGTGGCTTCTGAGCACAGGTAGCAGCACGGTCTCTGTGTGTGCGCATGTGTGAGCTCTTGATGTCCCCGCAGGCACCCTCTTTTCCCGCTCCTGACGCTGCTGTTTGAGAAATGTGAACAGGCCACCCAGGGCTCTGAGTGCATCACCTCCGCCAGCTTTGATGTGGACATCGAGAACTTTGTCCACCAGCAGGAGCAGGAGCACAAACCCTTCTTCAGCGATGACCCAGAACTGGACAATCTGGTAAAGACCCTCCACCCTCTGCCCTGTTTAGAGTCTTCCTACCCTCTGATCCCCTTCAAAATGCCCCAGAAATGATCCTTCCATTAATTCACCAACAAAAGATTTTGAGTGTCCACCTTGGGGCATGCATTAGATACACCAGTCTTGCAGCCAAGAACCATTTTTAAGTGCCTTAAACCAAGAGTTCCATGCACAGGCTTTGCTGCCAAAGTTCTGCCCATCTCTGCTCAGGGTGGCACTAGCATCTTAGCACCCATCCTTTTACAGTGCAGACAGGAGGAAAGAAGGGTCATAGCAGCCAGAATATCTGGGGTAGCTGTTCTGAGTCCCGGAGTCCTGGCATGTTAGCAAATCTGTCTTGGGCTGTCCAGAGAGGAGCTAATAGTTGATGTGCCACTGTATGGAGGATGAAGGTAACTGATGTTGGAGCACATTAACCGAGAGAAAGACCTGACATCGATGTGCTGAGGAGACCAGTGGAGAACTGGTTCATTCTGGGGACAGGGTAGATCAGGCTCCCAAACCTAATTGGTCAACTAGATCATGACCACAGTTTTATAAAAATACATATTTCTAGGCCACACCACCTGCGAATTGTGATTCAGTGGGTTTGGTGGGAGCCTGTGAATCTACCTTTTAAAAAGTTTCCTGAGCAGTTGCAATCATCATTAGGTTTGGTGACCACTGGGTCGGATGACATCTGAATTCTCATCTAGTCCAGGGAATTCTGTGGAGAGAGCAACAGAGAGGTTGTTCTGTTTGTCCATTACTCTAACTAGTCATCTTGGAATTATTAACCACAATTCTTTGTTTTTTGTGGGTGGATTACCCAGATTATGCACAGTGAATTTGGAAACTCTGGAAAACTCTCCCCAACAAATTGATTAATGATGGTGCTGTCTTCTTGGATTTAGAGTTTAACTGGTACCTACTTTCAAAAGGGAAACAGAATTAGAAAAGAAAATGTGGTTCCGGAAAGGAAGAAAACACACCCCCCACACACACACACACACACACACACACACACACACACACTGCATCTGCAGAACAGGTGTAACTGGCTTTGGTATTCTGTGCTATGAATTATCCACACCACTGCGTCTCTCAAGAGCTGAATATGTGACTGGATGGAGTCCAGAAGAGCTGCCAGGAGAGCCCACCCTGGCCTGAAGCTTCGTGAAGTGTCACGATGGGTGGAATGTTTGAAGAGCGGAGGAGGCCTTGCCAGAGGATAAGCGCTTGCTTGCTGTCGGGAGGGTCAGTGAAGGCATCTGAGAGCCCCAAAGCCACCTTTTCTCATCCTGGGGCATCCCTTTCCCTGGCTGGGATTGGCAGTCCCCTTCCCAGGAGGCAGGTCACTGTCTCTCAGGTCCCCTGGGAAAGCTGCCCTGTGCAGGTGCTCCAGTTGCAGGCTGGTCTTGCTCTGCCCTGTGCTCTGACTGATCAGAACCACAGACTGCAGTTGCGGAGCAGATCCTCGCAACCTAGACCCATGGTAGCCAGGGGGCCAGGAGATGCCGCAGCCATTTCTGTGGGAGCTGGGATGGACCTGGGAAGCAGGGCCCACTCCCCTCATTTGGCACAATAAGAAACTGAGTCCTAAGTAGGTAAGGAAATATTGAAAAGTAAACTGGGTAGCTAATGTGAAATAATTTATACCTTCTTAAGAGGGAGGAGTCCTGGGGGAACACATTTCTCATGCCCTGCCCACAACCACCTGCCAGGTGAGCTCTGGAAGACCCACCAAGGGCAGCCTCCCATCCTAGCTCAGCCTGGAAAACACCCAGGTGGCCATCTCCATGCTCTCTCCTGGCCAACATGACGTGGGTTCCCCAGAGTTCTGTTCACTCAAAGAATCATATTTAGAATCAATTGAACAGAACTTGGTTGAGTGTCTGCCATGTGCCAGGCCTGACCCAGGGACATGGATGCTGTGGAAGCTGCCCTGGTGGCCCTATACTGCCAGCGTACCCTGGTCTTCCATCTCAGGCACTGGGCTGGGAGTGTCCAGCCAGTGCAGCAAAGCTTGGACATTCCATCTACTTGGGTGCAGCTGATTTACCTAGTTGAGTTAGCCATGGTCAATGACTGGTTGACTGGCTGATTATGTAAATGGAGAATTTGAAAGAGCGCTCTCTGAGCCTCACCACTACTATCTATGTGATTTGGATGACTTAACTTCTTTGAAGCTCGGTTTCCTCATCTGTAGATCTAACACACCTATCTCGTGTAATGGTAATACAAAATTAATGAGATGGCTCTGGGAAATGGCCTTTAAAAATGCAGTTGCGGAGCAGATCCTCGCAACCTAGACCCATCTGGAAGGTTAGTCTCAAGTGCAGGGCCCCTCCGACAAGATGCTCCAGTTCCTCAACCTCACATCCTGGCCACCAAAGAGACCATGCGGCCGGGACCCTGAAACGTGATGTGGGGAGTCAAGCAGTGCCCCTTGCTACCCCCACCCCTGGTCCTGTGTCAGGAAGGGGGAGATAAAGAGGCCAACTGCAGGAGCCATCATTAGAACAAGAATCATGTAGCCAGCACAGCCGAGATGCACATAATTAGAAATTAGAAAAAGGTCAGATCGCGTCATTATCAGCTCAATCAGCTGCCGAGTGCCACAGCCAGTTAATTTGGCATCTGTATTTTTTACAACCCCGCACACGTAGCCCAACGGACTGTAACTCTTTATCCGGACAGATATACTGCGCAGCCGAGCAGGGACATAAAATGAGAGACCCCAAGCAAATGAGCTGAGATAATTGAGAGATTTATTTTTTATATATATGTGTGTCAGGGCGGCTTTCCTTTGCCCTTGAATATTGACTTTCACAGGGATTGTCAGGGCACTTGGGTCCCCAAAAACTTTGTCCCTCGGAAGTACTTCTCTCCCCCAAGGTCCTCAAGCCCCACTCGGGCCCTGCTTTCTCTCAGGCGCTGTAAGCCTGTAGTCTCCAGCCCCACCAAGCCCCCGATTTGAACTCAAATCCTCCCCATCCCCAGCTGGCCACCTCCCTGTCCCCCGAGCAAGTTGCCCTGTACCACACTCCCCTATGTCCCACAGTCACCCAGGGCTGCCCTGAAGATCAGAGAGGTTCTCAGATTGTAGATTTCGCAGGAACCTCCCTCCCTGCATTAGCCACCTGCTCCCACAGCACCCCTACCAGAGAAGAAACAGATTCATGAACCATTAGAGGGAAAAGCCCTAGAGAGGGCCGGGCACAGTGGCTCACCCCTGTAATCCCAGCACTTTGAGAGGCCAAGGCAGGCAGATCACATGAGGCTAGGAGTTCGAGACCAGCCTGGCCAACACGGTGACACCTCGTCTCTACTAAAGATACAAAAATTAGCCAGGTGTGGTGGTACATGTCTGTAGTCACAGCTCCTCGGGAGGCTGAGGCATGAGAATTGCTTAAGCCCAGGAGGCAGAGGTTGCAGTGAGCCGAGATCATGACACTGCACTCCAGCCTGGGCAACAAAGTGAGACCATCTCAAAAACAAACCAACAAACAAAAAGCCCTAGGGAGAAGCACATCCTACCTCCGTTTATAGCCTGGGATGTAAGTTCACAGAAGGAAGTGACTTGCCAGGACCAGAACCCAGGTCAGCTGACCCCTGATCCTCCGCTCTGCCCACAACATCACACCACCACTCCTTCATTTGCAAATAAAAGTGCCCCCGATCTCTCTTTCCCTGCACCCATACTGTAACTCCCCATTTCCAGAGGACGAGGGTGGCTTTCCACCCTCATGGTGGTCAAACTGCAGTGCCCCTGACTGGCTCCCCTGGGAAAGGCCGGCTCCATCCTTCACTCCCTCCACTCCGATTCCCACAGTCACAGGGGCTCACCAGGCCAATTCCTTAGCTGGGCCCACAGATCCCCTCCTCAGGCCCACCAGCCTCTGACTGGCAGTTGGTAAAGTTTGTAAAATTTGCAAGTTCCCCAAAACCCTTTGAAACGTAAAAGCTTTTTGTTTTATAAAATCTGATTTACGGGCCCCCGGTGCAGGGCCAAGGTTTTATATATTATGCAAGATTTCAAACCGTGGCTGTAAAAAGTACGGTTTCAGTTTCATGCATGGAATTTTTTTATGTGTAAATTTTTTAACATTTATGGGGCACGTTTTAATGAGACTCTGGTGTGGCTCGAGGGACAGATTACGGCTGCCTGACCGCAAAGCCAGCTCTAAAATGGGGCCCCCCAGGCCCCTGGGCCCACTCTGAAGAGGCAGAGCCAGAGGCTGGAGGCTGTGGATAAGGAGGCACGTGAAGGAATCAGGCCAGAGCTCTGGGCCCAGAGGCCTCAGGCCAGCGGCATTCAGAGACTTAGCCACTTTGGCCTTCAGTCCAGGCTGTCTTTGCCTAGACAGGAGCAGAAAATCCCACAGACACCAGGAAAGGGAAAGGAAATGGGAATCATCAATGCTAGTAATAATGAACATTTATAGAGCACTTACCAGCTGCCAGGTACCATTCCAACTATTTTACATGTATTATCTTATTTAATCTTCTTTCTAAACCCACAAGGCACATGTTACTATTATCCCCATTTTAAGAGGAGGCAACTGGGACACGAGATGCAGTCACCACCATGCGGCTGGTCCATGGCCCAGGCTGGAATCAAATACAGTGCAAGACTCGTGCTCCATAACCACACCCAAAGCAGCACTGGAGCTAATATCTTCTTCCGTCTTTCTCTGGGCCAGGTCTTGTTTTACATTTTCTTCTAGCCACATCTCATTCAACCCACAGTGCAACTCGGAGGAGTCACTATTATTATCTTATTTTCCAGGTGAGGAAAGTAAAGTTTAGAGATTATGTCAATTGTTCAAGGTCTCACCATAGGTGGAAGACCCAAGATACCCAAGACCTAAAGTCCTGAGTGTCTTCTTTGCTATTTAATTCTCACAAGAGCCCTGTGAAGTAGTTGTTGTTATCCCCATTTGACAGAGGAAGCAATCAAGGACTGAGAACCCTGTAGCCAAGAAATTACATAGCTG